CCCCTGTGAAGCCAAAATCCTTGCTTTTACGATGGTTGTGGCCCCATTTTGGTCTCCCGAGGGGGCCGCGCTCATCTTCCTTCATAGCAAAATCATTGATTTTACGAGGGTTTTGGGCTCATTTTGTCCTTCTCAGGGGCAGCGCTTCTTTGCGCTTCTGAGGAGGTCTCAAGAGGCCCCAAGATGGCCCCAAGAGGTCCCCAGGAGCCTCCCAAGAGGCCTCCAAGAGGCCCCCAAGAGGCCCCCAAGAGCCCCCCAGAGGCCTCCAAGAGGCCCCCAAGAGGACTCCAAGAGGCCCCCAGAGGCCCCAGGAGGCCCCCAAGAGGCCCCCAAGAGGCCCCCAAGAGGCCCCCAAGAGGCCCCAAGAGGCTCCAAGAGGCCCCCAAGAGGCCCCACGAGGAGCCCGAACGACTCACACCAGGACGAGGGGCCCGAACGACTCACACCACGAAGAGCCCGAACGACTCACACCACAAGGAGGGGCCCGAACGACTCACACCAGGACGAGGCGCCCGAACGACTCACACCACGAGGAGCCCGAACGACTCACACCACGACGCGGGCCCCGAACGACTCACACCACGAGGAGCCCGAACGAGTCACACCAGGAGGAGGGGCCCGAACGACTCACACCAGGATGAGGGGCCCGAACAACTCACACCACGAGAAGCCCGAACGACTCACACCAGGACGAAGAGCCCGAACGACTCACACCACGAAGAGCCCGAACGACTCACACCAGGAAGAAGGGCCCGAACGACTCACACCAGGACGAGAAACCCCAAACGACTCAAATCACGAGGAGCGCTTTCTCTCCCTCCTCCTCCGCCTCGTCCTTCTCCCGCTCCCCCCACAAGGAGGATGTACAAGGAGGCGGGAGGAAGGAGGAACAGGGGAGATATGCGGGGCCAAATGGACACACGCCTGAAAAACACGACTGTCGGCATGCTTCGCATGAGTTGCTGTTGTGAGATGGGCTGGTGGGGATACGCGAAGCGTAAAGAATTCCTGCCGCGGACCTGGGCGCGATGTTTCACGGTGCTGCCATTGTTTCTCGCTGCGCCGGAGCTCAGGGAGGCGGGCCCCCCAAGAGAGCAGCACAGCAGCCCATGCGACTCCGGGCCCCGCCTGCTCTCCCGGGGCGAGCCCGAGAGTGCCCGCGGAAAAGCGGAGCCCAGGCGCGGTCGAGCAGAGTTTACACCGGCTGTCGACCGCCAGCGCCTCGCCTTGGCAAAGCGCGTTCCACTGCTCGCGAGAGTTACTGCCCGCAAGTGGCCTGGGTCCGCCGCGGGAGACCCACGATACCTCACATCCTCACATCGGGGAAGACATGTTTTTGTTCGGACGTTTGCAAGCAGGCACTTTGCGAGTAGTGGAACGCGCTCGGTGACTGCTTGCCCACCAGGGGCAGGGGGGCGGCGATTCACTGCCGGCGTCACCGAAAATGTGTTTCGATGACCGCAGTGGCAAGAGGTATGACCGACCGAACGAAGGAAGCAGTGTCGCAGATCGCAGATCGTCGAGTACGAGTGATCATCGCAGCCCTGCGGGGGATGCTATCGCAAGATGAAGTTGACCTGGAGTGGTGCGACACATCGGTTCAGCTATCCGATGCGTTGACGAAGTTGGAAGCCGAGCCAGGCTACCTGACGAAAGCGATGAAGGTCTCCGCCGAGGCAGCCTCCGCGAAGGAGGCAGTGAGGATGGCACGCCACCGGCGTGCCGATGAGCGTCGAGCCCGCGACGCCCAGAGCAGAAGCACCGCTAGGGTGGAGCACAGCGCACAGCATGGCAAATTGTCCTCATATTTTGGGCTTCCGCCCATCTTCCGCGGCGCTTCCGCGCCACTACGCGTGATTCGATTTTGGACGTCGGTTTGGCCAGATGATCGAGGACGGGTGGTGAAAGCGAGCATCCCCCCCTTTTAGCCTGCCTGTGCCGCTGCCCGCTCTCACCCGCTCAGACAGAACATTTCGGTTCGCAGAGCTCTTGAGTTTACGATTGCAGAAGAACTGAAAGATCCAGGCGGGCGGCGCCCCGCCACTTGCGAGGAGGAGGAGGAGGAGGAGGAGGAGGAAGAGGAGGAGGAGGAGGCGGAGGAGGAGGAGGGCGAGGAGGAGTGCGCCCGCACCAAGGTCACTCTGGCCCAAGGTCATGCTTACGTGTGGCCGATTCTCCTCGCGCCGGGCGGTTTCTCGCCCGGTGTCTCGGGCCCCCCGGGCCCTCGCCGACGCCGATCGGTCTCGAGGCGCGCGGCCGCGCAGGGCCCTGGTCGCGAGCCCCCCGCGAGTGTCGCGGCTGTTCTCTCGCCGCGTCGGGCGCGGCGAGGCCCGAGGCCCGCGGAGAAGACGAGTCGAGGACCGAGGGAGGAGGAGGGCGAAGGGGGGAGGGAGGAGGGGGGAGGAGGAGGGAGGAGGGAGGGAGGGGAGGAGGGAGGAGGAGGAGGAGGATGGGGGAGGGAGGGAGGGGGAGGCTCTGGTACGTTTTGGCTCGTCCTCCAGCGGCTCTGGCTCGCTTTTCTCCAGTGGCCTCCGCGGCGGCCTCCGAGGAAGCCTCCAGGGGACACCTCCAATGTGCCCAGACCTCCGACGTCGTGTTCTTGCTCGCACGACGTGGGCCCCCCGAGGTCTGGCCCCGTTCCCCAGGACTGGCTTCTCATCCCGACCTCCTCCTCCTCCTCCTCCTCCTCCTCCTCCTCCTCCCTCCTCCTCCTCCTCCTCCTCCTCCTCCTCCTCCTCCTCCTCCTCCTCCTCCTCCTCCTCCTCCTCCTCCTCATTCCCCACGGCCGGCTTCTCATCCCGAGTCGTTTTGGTGATGGCCCCGCGGAGGGCACCTCGCGGCCCAGAACGGCCACAAGACCTCCCGTCGCCATGTCTTCGCAATGCGAGACAGGATCGCGAGAAAAGGCTGTCGGCGGCCGAGACATCGCGATCACGTCGTCGGCGAGAAGATCCCGTGAACCCTGTGCTGTGAGAGGCTCGCGGGATCGGCGGCCCGGGCTGCGGGCCCCGGGACCCTCACGGATCAATCCGCCTCGAGACACGCCCCGGGGGCCTTGGGGGCCTCTCGGCCCTGGCCGTGGTCTCCAACGATGCCCCATCCAGCCGGCAGCGTCGGACCGATGGGGAGTGACCTTTTGACCTGCGCCCGGCTCGGAGCCCACTCGAGCCCCGACCACAGGTCTGGCGGAAGACACGGGCGGCCGCCGGCGGACCTCCGCACGCCCGAGGGGAAACGGAATGTGAGGCACTCCAGATTCCCCCGACCTGGAGGATGGCGAGTGGCCCGCCCCAGACGTCCGACCGCTCCAATCTTGATCGATGCGCGGGTCCCGGAGGCCTGGACCACTTCCCCAGTGCCGGTTCTTCGTCCCGAGTCATTTGTTGACGGTCCCGAGGCCCGGCGAGGGCCCCCCGAGGCCGAAAACGGCTGAAAACCTGACGCTCCGACTTTGTCGGAGCGTCGGATCTCTTTGGGGCTGCCCGGGGGGCAGGCGGGAGGACACCGTCTGGGCACCATCACCAGTCCTGGCCGGGGCAGCCCTGGGCCCAGGTGCTGGTGCACGCGCCCAACCTGGCCTGGACGTGGCCTGTGCGTGGGTTTCTGGCGCCGCGCGGATCGTTCGATCGTTCGGACGTTGACAGTCGCGGCCTTCCGATGGCGAAGTCGATGTCGGCCGACTCTGGGCATCCGCGTCCTGAGGCTGCTCTTCCCTTCCACCCCCCCCCCTCCGACCCAGTCCTCCTGCTCTCACCCATCCCCCTCCTACTCCTGCTCCTGCTCCTCCTCCTCCTCCTCCTCCTCCTCCTCCTCCTCCTCCTCCTCCTCCTCCTCCTCCTCCTCCTCCTCCTCCTCCTCCTCCTCCTCCTCCTCCTCCTCCTCCTCCTCCTCCTCCTCATCGTCATCATCACCATACCATCACCATCACCATCACATCACCATCCACCATCACCATCACCATCACCATCATCATCATCCACCATCACATCATCATCATCATCATCATCATCATCATCATCATCATCATCACCATCATCATCATCAGCAGCAGCATCAGCATCCGCATCAGCATCAGCTCATCATCGATCACATCATCATCATCAGCATCATCAGAATCATCATCACAGCACATCATCATCATCATCATCATCATCATCATCATCATCAGCATTCATCATCATCATCATCAGCATCATCATCATCATCATCCTCCTTCTCCGTCTTCCTCCTCGTTCTCCTCCTCCTCCTCCTCCTCCTCATCATCATCATCATCATCACCAGCAGCAGCATCCTCATAAGCAGCATCATCAGCATCATCATCAGCATCATCATTATCAGAATCGTCATCATCAGCATCATCAAAACCATCATCATCATCATCATCATCATCAGCATCAGCATCAGCATCATCATCATCACCACAATCAGCAGCATCATCATCATCATCATCATCATCATCATCATCATCATCATCATCATCATCATTAGCATCAGCATCAGCATCATGCATCATCAGCATCATCATCAGCAGCATCAGCAGCAGCATCACCATCATCAGCATCAGCATCAGCATCAGCAGCATCATCAGCAGCATCATCATCATCATCTACAACAGCAATAACAGCAGCAACAACAACAACAACAACAGCAGCAGCAACAACCACAACAACATAAACAACAACAACAACAACAACACCATCCTGTCTCTCTCTCTCTCTCTCTCTTGCTCCTCCAACCTTCATCCTTCGATCCCCCCTCCCCCTCCTCCTCCCCGCGTCCTCCTCCCCGCGTTCTCCTCCTTCCCTCCTACCCCCTCGTCCTCCTCCTCCCCTCCTCCCCCCTGCACCCCTCCCTCTCATCCCACCCCTCCCTCCCTCCCCTCCCTCGCCACCGCCCCCTCACAACGAACGACAAAAACAAACAAACACGAGATACAAAACGCGCGGGCGAAGGCGGAGAGCACGGCCGCGGGGACGCCCCAGCGCGCGCGCGGGCGTGGCCTGGTCGCCGCCGCCGCCCCTGTCCCAGGCGCCTCCGCCTGCGCGCCGCGCCCATGCCGCCCGCCCGGGACGTCCAACACCACAGGAAGAGTTAGGACCCCTGATGCGAGGCGGGAGCTTATCCATATCCACCGCCTGGAAACCGACGTCCTGGGGAACCAGCGGGCGGTGGGTGTAGATATAACTGGGGCCCTGGGGGCACGAACATCTCCATATACACCGCCTGAGGAGGTCCACGAAGATCGCTCCCCCGGGCGGTGGTTATGGATAAATGGTCGTGCGGCCAGAGATCCGAAGCCGAAATGGAGAGATAGAGAGGGAGAAGACTACTGAGTGAAGAACAAAGCAGAGGAAGCAGCAGGCCCGAAAGTGGAACAAGCTGAAGCCGCGCCAAGGGCGCAGGCACCAAAGGTGCGGGAGTGCCTGAGATTACTACCTTAAAATGGGTGCGCACTGGACTGAAGATTCCTCCTCTTTCTCATCTTCCTCCTCCTCCTCCTCCCCCTCCTCCTCCTCCTCCTCCTCCTCCTCCTCCTCCTCCTCCTCATCCTCATCCTCATCCTCATCATCCGAACCCTTTTGGCTCAAGATGCCAGGTTCCTTTGGGGCCAAAACGGATACCGCTGATCCGCGGCTAGATTTCGCTTTTCCGCGCCTTCACCGCAGGAGTTGGGCACCTGCACTTCTTGTCTCTCCCGCGCTGCTCTCGCCATGGCCCCTCCGCCCTGGCGCACTGAGGATGGCTGGACCCGCGTCGGCGGTGGCAAGAAGGGGAAGAAGGTCCAGTCGTACACGTACTGCTCGTGCGGGCATTGGACGTACGATCGTCTGCTGGCTCGCCGCGGCTTCTGCGTGGGGTGCGGCACGGCCATGCAACCTACTGGTGTTGGGAAGGGTGGTGCAGGAGGGGCCAACGGCGCTCCCAGCGGCGGCGGCGGCGGCGCGTCTGGTGTGGATCCCGCGGCAGTGGCAGCGGCCAGGAAGGCGGCCGCACTGTTGCCCCCCGCCGCCGCAGCCGAGTTGCTCGCCACCTTCAAGATCAAGCCTGATCCTCCCCCACCGGTGCCTCTCGGCGAGGCCGAGATCAGCTCTGCCGAGGCCAAGAAGCGTGCTGCTACCCGCGCGGTCCAGCAGGCCATCGACGCCCGTCTCCGCCTCGAGGAGCAGATCGTTGCTGCCGACAAGAAGGTCGACGAGGCTATCAAGAAGGAGGAGGAGGCCCAGCAGGCCGTCGAGCTCGCGGCCCGCAACCTCGCTGCGCGGGTCCTCCCAGCGCCCGAGGCGGCGCCATCGTCGGGTTCGGTGCTGCACATCGGCGCGCTGCTTGAGAACCCAGACTCGGTGCGGCTGGACTTCGGCGAATCCATCGACGTCACGGGCCCTGCCTTCTCGGACGAGGACCGAGCGAAGTTCAGCAACTTCGCCGAACAGCAGCGCATCGCCGCCACGGAGCTCCTCCGCAAGGCCTTCGCGGGGGTCGCCGAGCAGGCCAAGAAGCTCCAGTCCGAGTACGTCTCCTACGTTAAGCAGATCCAGAAGAAGCGCCAGGCGGAGGACGGCCAGGGCGTTGCAGTCCAGCAGCCGTCGGCCCCTCCCGCAGCGGCGGCCAGCCCCCCTGCAGGCGCGGCGGCGGCGGCCAGCCAGGAGCCTCCTGGCCCTGCGGCGCCTGCCGCCTCGCCCACGCCCGCTGAGGCCGCCGAGCTGGAGGCCGAGCGGCGTCGGGAGGCCGTCCGCGCCGCCAGCGCGGCCCGCGCAGCTGCCAAGCAGGAGGCGGCGGCGGCGGCCCCCCCGCGGGGGTAGCCTGGGCTCCGACGCCGAGGGCCGCTTCCTGAGGCTGGTGTACGGGAACATCTCGTGCTGGGGGCCCCAGGCGGAGCGCTGGCTGGCGGAGACGCCTGCCGACGTGGTGGTCTTGGTTGAGACCAGGGTGCGGGGTGTTAAGTACACCCAGATGTGCGCGGCCGCGAGGCGGCTGGGCTGGAAGGCGGTTGGCGGTGAGGCCGACGCCACGGAAGCCTCTTCCACGTCGGCGGGGGTGGTGATCTTCGCTCGTGCCCGACTCGGGCTCGCCTCGCTGTGCCTCGAGGCGAGCGGAGGCTGGACATCAAGTTCCTGTTCGCGCTGGTGCGTGGCCACCCTCAGGCTGCGCCACGTCACGCTCACCATCGTTCCGATCTACATGGTCTCGGGCGAGGAGTTGGGCGGCCGCAACCTCAAGTTGCTTTCTCAAGTGGGTGCTCGGCTCGGCCAGTTGGCGGGCCCTCTCTTCATCGTTGGGGACTGGCAGTCTTTGTCCAGCGAGCTGGCGACGACTGGCTTCATGGCGGCGCTTGGCCTGGTCGAGGTGCAGTCGGGTCTGCAGGTCACGTGTACTGGTGGCAGGGGCGCGGGGCGTGCCATCGACTACGCCTTGGTCTCGTCCTCCTTCGCGTCGGCTGTGCAGTTTGCAGGGGTCGACGTCTCGGCCCCGTGGGGCACCCACCTTGCGCTCTCCTACAACATCCTGGCCAACCCGAGGTCGCTCATGGGTTGGTGCGTGGTCATGCCGAAGGCGCTGGACATCTTTGTCGCCTCCAACGAGAGCTACGACCTGGACTGGGACGTCGCCCTCTCTGAGGCCCGAGCCCTTCGCCAGCGCTCCTCTGCCCGTTTTACTTCTAACTTTGAGGCGGCTAGCCTCGCCATTGCCGATCACGATGTGCCGCAGACTGCCCTTTTGCTCGGAAGCCAGCTTGGGGAGTGGGCCCTGGCTCTGGAGTTCGTGCACTGTGCCAAAAAAGGAATCCCTCGCTCGCAGTGGCCTCTGTACGTAGGACGGTGCCAGCAGCCTCGCCTCAAGTACGCCCCCATCGTGCCACGCGCCAGCGACGGCCCTCCTCTCGCTGACCGTCATGCCCGTTTTTGGCAGGCCCTCGCTGTGCAGGCCTCCTTGCTTCTGCGTTTGGCTGATCCCGAGGCGGATCCTTCCGAGCCGTCTACTCCGCGCGCCCGCTGTGGTGAGCAGTTCTGGAGCACGATGCGCGGGCTGGAGGCCCTGCAGCTGCCCCCGCCTTTCGATCCGAACGACGCGGTGGAGAAAGCGATCCTTGAGCGTTGGATCTCTTGGCTCCGCCAGCTTCGCTCGCTGTCGCTCGACAGCCTTCAGCAAATCGCGGAGGAGGCTAAGGAGCAGGGAGTCCAGGCTGCCCAGCGCGCGGCTGCGGCGGCCCGTGCGCGCTGGCGCTCCTGGTTGTCCGACGCTTTGGCGGGCTCTGCTAGCAAAGCCCATAGGCTCCTCCGCGATTCTCCCTCAATCTGTCGCGCCGAGCCTGTCTGGGATGGAGAGCCTGCCTCCACGCCCTCTGCCGTGCTGGAGGCGGAAGGCGCCTCGTGGCACGCAATCTGGTGCAAGCATTCGCGGCCCGAGGCGTTGGAGGCCCTCGCGAGGATCCGCCGCGCTGCTCTGTCGTCAGCCTGCTTCGAGCCTGTTTCTCCTGACCAGGTGAGGGGGGCGTTAAAGACCGTTCCTGATCGTCGGGGGAGGGGGATTGACATGATGCCGCCTCGCCTGGTCAAGGATGCGCCGCCTGCTGCCATCGATGCGCTCGCGGCCCTTCTGACGGCCATCGAGCGCGAGGCCACAGTGCCCTTTCAAGAGCTGTTCAACCTCATCGCCTTGCTGGACAAGGAGGATGGAGGCCTGAGGCCCATCGCCTTGCTCAATTTCAGCTACGTGTTGCTATGCCGCATTAGGAAGCCAGTGATAGGCGCCTGGGACCGTGACCAGCACGGGGCCTGGGACAAGACAGTAGGCGGCTCGGCCGATCTAGCGGGGTGGTTGGACGAGCTGGAGGGGGAGCTTGCGCTCCTGGGAGGCTTCGAGGTTGCGGGCGGACTGCTCGACCTTCGGAAGTTTTACGACCTGGTGTCCCTGCCTGATTTGGCGGCGGCGGCCCAGGATTTAGGCTACCCTCTCCGCCTCCTCGCTCTCGCCCTCGACGTCTACCTCGGTCCTCGCCTCCTCACCCTCCAGCGCCAGGTGCACACAGGTATCTTGCCTGGTGGAGGCATCCTCGCCGGCTGTGGCCAAGCTGTCTCGCAGGCGCGCGCCTACCTGCACGCCCCGCTGAAGGCGGCACACTCCTTGGTGCCAGGGTTGCGCCTGAGGGAGTGGATCGACGATCTCGCCTTCCGCCTTTTCGGCACTGAGCACTCGCTCAGCTTGGCCTTTCCAGTGGTGCTGCGCGCCCTCTTTACGGGCCTGCGCAGGCTGCGATGCGAGTTTTCCCTGGGGAAGTGCGGCCTCATGGCCTCTTCTGCTGCCATCCGCGCCTTGCTGCCCGCGTGGGCGTCGGCGGCCGAGGTCGGGGCTGGTGGCCTCAGGACTGTTCGTGTTGCCCGCGACCTCGGCCACGACACATCTTTCGGTGCCTCGCGCTCCGTGAAGGTGCGCAAGAAGCGTTTCATGAAGGGCAGGCGCGCCGCTCTCAAGATTTCGGGACTGGTCAGGTCCGCGCCGCGAGCCTCACGCCTT